TTTCCAGAGTTTTGTTCATACCTTCTTTAATAAAAATCAAATAAAACTTAGAATAACATGTTTTTCTATTTCTGCTTGAATTAGACTTTAGATTTCCTTTGTTATTTATGGTTAAAGGGGAGGTGTTAGCGTTATTTCATGTGACCAGGGAGTAAGGAATAGAAGTGAGATATAACTGACTCGGTTCGCCCTCAAAGTGATTAAATAGTATCTATTCTATTCTATTCGCCCTGCTATATGATTATACATGCTTTGCAGACGGGTACTCCATTTGTATAAGAAATATTTGTCTGATGTACAATTACCGCGTATACAATAACCTATTTTGAATATTTTTTATATACAAATGGAGTACCCGTCTGTGAAGCACGCATAATCATATGGTAGGGCGAACCGCGTGCGTCATCCCTTCTAATCCTTACTCCCTGCATGTGACCCTACGTGAAAGATGGCGATGTTTGATTTACAACAGCACCCTTTAAGGCTTTGTCTGATCAAGTATTAATTAGATATGTCATGTTTACGGTTTTGAAAATAGTTTATTTACAATTGCAGCTTCTTTGCATGGAAGGTTTCTTTAAATTACGCTTACCGCCCCTTTAAGTTTTATTTAAATGTTTCTTTTGGGTTTTTCATTGTGTTTATAAAAACCTACTTTTGGCAATTATCATTGAGTTTTTTTTAAATAAACCATATCCAAGAAAATGGTTAGTAATTATATTTATTGTGGATTAATTATATTATTTTATTAAAAGTTGATTTAAATGTCATTAGATCCAGATATGATGCATCGAAGAATATAAATTCTGTAAACTGGAAAATAATTTCACATGTACTGCTTAATATTAAGTTTACATGTCCTATTCAATATTAAGTTTACATGTACTGCACAATATTAAGATTACATGTACTGCTCAATATTAAGTTTACATGTACTGCTCAATATTAAGTTTACATGTACTGTTCAATATTAAGTTTACATGTGCTGCTCCATATTAAGTTTACATATGCTGCTCCATATTGATTAATTTAGGAAGAAATTGGATAACACTGTTTGACCTGTTTATTGAAGACCTGCAATCTTTTTTTTTGAGTGTAGCCATTGCTGCTTCGGGAAATATCAAATGTCAGACAGTCAGTAAGAAATAGGGACATTTTCTTATTTAATGTTGCACATTTTTAATATGATTAAGCACCAATGAAAACATCTAATTAAGCACCAATGAAAACATCTAATTATTAAGCACCAATGAAAACATGAAAACATTTAATTAAGCAATTAAAATTAAAATTAAAATTAGGGTACCAGTAGCTTAAATGTCAACTTGTTAGGTGAAATGGGTCTGTGCACACTGCACAACTGCTGAATTTAATGCTTCTTGGACTACTTGAAATCAAAATGTGGATCTCACAGTCATCTTTCTTTTCCAGAGTTTTATAGGTTACACTGTTTTCAAAGACTGTACCATGAAATGTACATGTAAATCAAAATTACTTAATCACAAAAAAAAAGTTGTTACAAATGGTTTATTTTTGATTTTATAAATATGAAAGTGAAAGGTTTTTATATTTATGAAAATGAGATCATGTTTCGAATTCAAACCAATTTGATCTAAATCAACCTACAGGATTACCCAAAAAGAATAAGAATGTAAAGACGACTGAAAACTCTTAAAATAGTATGATTTCTGCGTTAAATTAAATCCTCTGCCTTATGTATAGAAATCAAATAGCTTTTTTCATGCTTTGGTAAAGAAAATAAAACAAGTTTGTAAGGCAAGGAGTAAATTTAGTATAGTCATCAATGATGTCTCACTTTTTATGAGTGACCCTGTAGCTTCAGAAGATTGATATTTTAGCAGGATGGATATAACCATTGATTCTCCAGGTTCATATTTTGGCAGGTTGGAGTGACCATTAATTGTCCAGGTTCATATTTTAGCAGGTTGGAGTGACCGTTAATTGTCCAGAGCTGAAAACTTTAGAATGGTGGATATCAGGATTAAGGCTTAAACCACTCTTTTCAAATAAAATTTCTTAATATCCAGTTTAAATATTGCTTGTTCTCCACATGAATTTAAACTCCAGAGAAGTTAACCGATCGGATATCTGGATATTTCATTCTAAAGTTTTCAGCTCAGGTCGTCCAGGTTCATATTTTAGCAGGATGGGTGCAGACCAATGATGAGGCATCACATCTGCCATAAATTTCAAGACGACATTTCATGCGCTCTTCTATATATTCTTATATTTGAGATTGACTGTGTAGGACAATTTAAATATGAAGATCCTTTTATAGTGTTACGAGAAAAATCTTTGGAATTACCTGTAGACTTTAATTTGTGAAACTTATGCTGATATTTTTAAGACAAGATAAGAAATTCTGACGTCTTGACGTAGAACTGGTTGAATTAGAAGTCAGATTTTGTATCATGTCTGTTTCATTTTTAGATTTTACTTAAAAAATAAAAAAACGATAGGACAGGGTAATAATAATTTAAAGGAACTGCAAATGTAATTTCAATTGAGGGTTTCCCAAGGTCGCATAATAAGGTTGGTTAATTGTTACTCATGATGCGCTCCAATATACGGAAAGTGTCGTCTACTATAAGATATATACAAGGTGTCCCACATCATATTAGATCGTTAATCGGTCTAAATAACGATTTTTGGCACAATGGTCCGGAAATTTAAGGAGAATGAGTCATTTTAAAACTTAAATAAGTCTAATATAAGAATTTTTTGCGGTAAATACTAGTTTTTACGAGTATTATGGCTTTATTTTGGCGTTAAAACTTGAAGATAATCGTATATGATATGATTATGGGACGCTCTGTAGATAAAAACCTAATATGACGTTACTCTTGCAGTGACTGTTTATTTCTATGAATTTCTATTTTATTTCTTAAATGCAAGAAAAGCGCAAGTCACTTTGTAAGAGAACCCAAAATTGAAATTAAACATACATATCTGATTCATACTTGGTCAGACACAGCTTTTGAGGGTACCGTTGTAAATCGGGAATTGCCATCTTTGCATGGAGGGTTACTTGACAGCAGTGTACAGCAACGTACACTGTACAGTAGTGTACAGCAACGTACTCTGTACAGTAGTGTACCCCAAATAAGACCATCAAGTTGGGGTATTTGTATGATGCAGACCAAAATGCGACAAATTCAGAAAAAAAAAATACTTTTACCGTCTGATATACTTCTCAGAAATATGCATGTATGTCGTTGAGTCTACATAAAAAATATTTCTTGAATTTATCTTGTCATTATCATTAATTACCAAACAAGATTAAATCCATTAAAACTTTTGAAAAAATATTCTAAATAAATTAGTCGGACCAAGAAAACCGTCAAAAAAGCTCGTTTTCAGGAAAAGTACATTTTTGGAACCGATCTCATTTTTAAATTTTTAAAAATTTCAATGGATTTAATCTTTCTGGACAATTAGGAGGAAAATAATATATGACATGATAAATTCAAGAAATGTTTGTTATCCCCCCCCCCCTAGAAAATATCAAAGCCGCTACCTGCTTCTTAAGAAATTAAATTGTCTTCCGACAAATCATTTAAAAGATTTTTTACGGAACAACAAATTGTATATTTGAACACATATGAGATAAGTACAGAAAATGGCCGCTACAATACATATTATCGCTAGTGTCGCCACCGTGTCTGAAGGAATATGCCGGGGTGTCGAGATCACAAAGTCTCGTCTATCGACGGTATCGACGACCATCTCTCAACCTGAACACAAAAAACTAATTAAAACAGAACATGTAAATGAATGAATATTGTTTAATGTAAGAATGAGCGGGAACAAATCAAATCAAATAAATAATGCTTATACATATGTGTAAACAAATAAATAATAATGAATGAATGGATAGATGGATGGATAAATTAATGAAAGGATGGATAAATTAATGAAAGGATGGATAAATTAATGAATAAATGGATGAATTAATGAATGAATGGGCAAATTAATGAAAGTATGGATGAATTAATGAAAGGATGGATAAAGTGATGAATAGGTGGATGGATGAATTAACGAATGAATGAACGAATCAATGAATCACCTATCCCTACTCCGGCTCCTATCTCTACTCCTACTTCTGTATCTCTCCCTACTCCGATCCATAGACCTGAAATCATAGGTTTAAATATTGTAATTATTTATTAATTATTAATAATCATAGATGCAATCATAAAATCATTAGTTTAAATATTAATAATCATAGATGCAAACGTAAAATCCTAAGTTTAAATATTTATATTTATAGGTTTATGTAATGAAATCAGTTTTTAAAAACCGGATCCATTGGATCCACAACATTTTATCACTCTGGATCCATATTTGGATCCAAGTGGTAAAATATCAGCCAAAGATTAAAGTTTGTGCTCTTAATGTGAGCTTATGTGATATCATAATAACCTTCCTAATCACCTAATTGCATCAAAATTGTCGTAAAAAAATAATGTTTTTGAAATTAGTTGTTGGCAAAACAAATTAGCAAAACTTAAAGAAATATTTATGAAATGGATCTGGTTTAAATATTGTTATCTTAGGATAAAATTTTGATCTGATAGTATTAATTGAATTCTTCAGGGACAAGGGGAGGGGAGTGAAAAGGGGGATGTGGTTAAAAAGGGGCGGTAATCAAGGAGTGAAGACTGAAAAAGGGGTTGAAAGGGGTGGGGGTGGTAATTAAGGTGTTATTGTACTTTCCCAAGCGAACCTTTTCCAAGGTGCAACTTCCCAATTCCCAAATGTGCAATTTCCCAAGCGGCAACTTTCAAAAGGTTAGGCCTTCTGAGGCGCCGCAGGGACCGAGCGCTGCAGCTAGGATGGTCAAATGGGCCGAGCGCCGCGGCAAGAACAGACTGAGGGACCAAGCGCTGCGGTTAGGACAGACTTGGGAAGTTACCGCTTGGGAAAATTGGACATTTGGGAAGTTGCCACTCAGGAAGATACCCTTGGGAAGTTGCCAATTGGGAAAAATCCTTTAGAAAAGTACCTAACATCCTGTTTAAGGAGTGAAGAGGGAGTAACAGGGAATTGAAAGGGGTGGGATTACAAAGTGGGGAGTGAAGGGGGTGGGGGGTTTTAAGGGGTGGTAATCAAGGAGTGGAGTGGAGTTACAGTGGGTTAATAGGGGTGGAGATGGTTATCAAGGAGTAAAGGGGGTAAGAAGATTACCTTCTGCTAGTTCTCCTGATAAACTCCTCTACACTCCTGTCATAACTTCGATCTATACTCCTACTCGGAGATCTGTTAACAATCATTAATTTATTTCAACTCAGTGAACGTCATTCCATAAAAAAAAATATTTTTGCAATAAACAATTTGCATTCTTAGGGAAAAAAATATGTAATGTTTGTTATTTATGAACTCTTGCAGTCTTGGACTAGTGATTTCGTTTATCTTATGCTTTAAAGTAAATTTAAGAGACTAGATGAATAACTTAGATGATTTGAAAAAATTATAGAGTTAAAAAAAACACATTAATTTAAGTGCTTTTTATTTATGAACCTTTTGCAGTTCGGGTTATAAACTCACATACAAATAAGAACTTTTTATCAATTTTATAGCATCAAACCTCATCTAGACATTATTAGTCAGAATTTCTCGTATATAATCAAAATTTGATTTTCTCATATTTATGCGTAGAATTTAAACCACGAAGCTACGAAGTAGTACCAGTAATGGCTTCTGTCTATTGAAGAGTAAAAATATGAAAATTTCGAGAATAAAAAAAAACTAAACGAAAATCAGAAAATTACCTTCTGTATAATACTGAACTCGGTTCATCGTAATATCTAAATAAACAAAAAAGTAATTAATTAACGAATCTTTTTTGTTTTTAAAACTAAATTTTTACAATTTTGTAGGTCATTGATATTAGTTCTCAACTAACAAACTACCTGGGGGGTGGGGGTAGGTATGATTGTGAAGGATACATGTAATCTAGTTCTCGACTAACAAGCTACCTAGGGGGTGGGGGTANCTCTCATCCTATTTGCGGCATGCGCTAACCTCCGACCCTCTCATCCTATTTGCGGCATGCGCTAACCTCCGACCCTCTCATCCTATTTGCGGCATGCGCTAACCTCCGACTCTCTCATCCTATTTGCCTCCCCCCCCCACTCGTCTGATCAAGAAGGAATGAGATTCCATGAAATTATTTTTAATTGAGGTATTATACAAGTATCTTCATGATATTGGCTGCAGAAACAATTAATAAAAATTAAACGATTCAAGCTAGAATTATCACGATATTTTTCATATTTTTTCGGGGAAGGGGACTGCTTGCAGTACGTTACAAATCCTGCAGTACACTAACCTGAGATAATCAGCGTAGGTCGGGGTTCTGTCAAACACTGGATACCCAGGGGGAGATCTAGCCCGGTAACTCTTAAATGAATGAATGAATGAAAAAATGAATGAATAAATGAATGAATTGATTAATTAATCAATCAACGAATCAATGAATCAATGAATCAATCACTAATTTTATCAATCCACATACCACCCAATCAATGATTACATAATTAATCAATAGAATTGCTGTTGTAATAATCAAGAAAAATATTTATCAATCAATGTTAAATAAATTAATTAATCATCAATCAATCAACCCATAAATCAATATAGATGTTCTCACCAAAGGACGGGATCTGTCTGCTAGGCGAGGACCTTTAATACCACCCAGTCTACTAGGTCTACTTTCTTCTCTGAATATAATCAATCAATCAATAAATCGACAAATTAAACAATCTACCATATAGCAAATAAATCATTCGTCCCAGAAAACAATTTAGAAATGATCCCACTTTAAATCAATCAATCAATCAATCAATCATTCAACCAGACAAATAATTAATCTTTCAAATTATCCAGAACAATAAAAAATAAATAAATTTGGTTTTCAACTTCGTGAATAAGTAAATAAATGAATAATTTTGTTTTTTAATAGTTATGATCTTACATCACATTAACACTAAGTTTTGAATTAATCCATTTATAATATTGTAAATGTTAATAGTAAGCTGCTTACCTTTGCCGTTTCCTTCCTCTATCTCTAAACCTTCCTTCTCCCCTTCCACGTCCCCTGTCCCTTCCCCTTCCACCTCCCTCCCTTCCTCTTCCACCTTCCCTACCCCTCCCTCCTCCATCCCTCATCCGGCCTCCGTCTCTACCCCGGCCTCCACCGTCTCTCCCTCTATCCCGACCTCCTCCCCTCCGACCATCCCTGACCTCCCGTCCTCCCCGGCCCCGACCACAGTCTCCTAGTCGGGAACTGAGAGGAGCTCCCTTCTTTACAGGTTCTTTGGCACGTAACAATCTAGAAAAAATTTGATTTTCTGATATTTCAAATAAAATTCTTAACTTTATAATTTACTAATAATGGGTATGAGTTCGTAACAACCAGTTAAAAAATATTTTTAACAAATGAACAAACTCGCATTGAACGATTGAACAAGTGAATGTGAATGAATGAACTAATAAACACAGAAACGAATAAAAGGTTGAAAAAAAACGAATGAACGGAACGAATAAACAAATAAACAAAAAAAGGATAAATGATTGAACAAATTAACGAATCAAAGATGAATATATGAACGAATGAACGAATAAACGAATGAACGTATAAACAAATGAACGAATGAACAAAAGGAAGGATGAACGAATGAACGGATGAACGAATGAACGAATAAACGAATGAACGTATAAACAAATGAACGAATGAACGAATTAACGAATGAATGTATAAAAGGATGAACGAATGAACGAATAAACGTATAAACGAATGAACAAATAAACAAAGTTCTTACCTAGCAGTTTCTTTAGATCTTCTGAGTATTGGTGTCATATCAACATTTGTATCTACACTGAACAGTCGGCACAACTCCTCTGCAATTCTGAAAATATAAAAACATTATCCAAAATATTTCAAATTAAGGTTTAAAGTAAAGTAAAGTAAAGTAAAAAATTATTTATTTATGAAATATAACAAAAACATACAAAATAAAGTGTTTCAGGAGAAAATATTTAAAAACCTCTAAAAGTAGAGGTTGNATCTCTAATATTTCGACTAAGTCCGAGAAGGTACCATTTATATCGACTTTTTGCCCCCTGCCCCGTAAGTAAGATTCAAACCACTGTAATGTGTTGCCCCTAATTCCTGCGTTGTCAAGCTTTTTTAGAAGTATCTTGTAATCAATACAGTCGTAAGCTTTAGAAATATCTAGCATGATAAGTAAAACAGATTCATTATTATTTAGTGCGCTGAAAATATAGTTTAAAAGCTTTCTAAAAGGTTTCTAAAAAAGCTTGAACAACGGAATATTTTCATAACAAATTATTAATTTCCATCCACTTTCTGATTAAAAAAAAAATAATAATAAAAAGATGAGTAAAGATTTAGTTTCTTTTGAGCAAACTACCACCATGAGTTTCATTAATTTGGTTCAAGCCCCTGACCATTTTGGCCTTTTTCGACCAGGTTTCTAATAATTTAACCTATCTCTCAACCATTTTGGCATTTTTTGACCAGGTTCATGATAATTTAACCTACTTTGTTTCAATCTCTTGACCATTTTGGCTTTAAATGACCAGGTTCATGATAGTTTTGGTTTAAAGTAGTTGAACATACTTTGCTTCAATCTTTTGACCTTTTTCTGCCTATTTTAACGAGTTTAACTTACTTTTGTTTAATCTCTGGACCATTTCTGCCTATTTCGACCGGTTTAAGATGCTGAACTTACTATGATTCAATCTCTTGAAAGGTAATAATTTAAAGGTAATTAAACTTAATTTGGTTTAATCTCTTGACCATTTCTACCTACTTTGACCGGTTAAAGGTAGTTTAACTTACTTTGAATCAATCTCTGGACCATTTCTGCCGATTTTGACCAGTTAAAGGTAGTTAACCTTACCTTGGTTTAATCTCTTGACCGGTTTAAGATGTTAAACTTACTATAGTTCAATCCCTTGACCATTTCTGCCTATTTTGACCGGTTTTAGATGTCAAACTTACTTTGGTTCAATCTCTTGACCATCTCTGCCTATTTTGACCGGCTTATTCTCGTTCCATGGATTATAAAGATGCTGAGCAACCTGGAAACTCAGATCTTGTTTACACACCCAGTCAATCTTAACAAAAATTAATACGTTAAATCAAAAAAAAAAAAAAAAAAAAAA